CGGTGTGGGAGGTGTCGAACATTTCCTTGTTCTATTCTTATTGCTAATACATATTTCGCTTTCGAAAAGCCTCGGGGATGATCCGGCAAGCTTTCCCAGGATACCTATCTCATCGTACAAAGGATCTGGACATCACTCTTTGAGAAAGCCGCTGCAGCGTGAGAACTGATGCTCAAAGTCGTTCGCTTCGGTAAAGGAATCGATAATTCGATATCCGTTCCGCGAACTTCGAAGACCAACGAGCTGGAACATTAGCTCCGCGTCGGTGGGAATAAAAAAATAATACGTGTTCGAGAGAGAGAGAGAGAGAGAGAGAGAGAGAGAGAGAGAGAGAGAGAGAGAGATAAGGCCTCCCAATTTTCTTCTCCCACTATAACCGCTTATTTCTTCTCTCATACAACTTTTCTATATTAAAATTTCTAATACTTGTTAAATTCGATATTTTTTAAAACTATTTATTAAAAAAAAAAAATAAATAAAAGAATACGTACTGTATTTTATAGTTTTTTTTTAAATATGATTTTTAAAGAATATTGTAATATATATATATTTTTTTCTTTTATATATGTGACAGAAAAATTGTTAATTCTTATCAATAGTCCTTAATATTTAATTCTTATACTGATAATTCCTCGGAGAAAGTCAACATCGGGTATCAAAAATCTGTCTCATTGAGAAGTTGAGAACCGCTACGATGCAAGAGCAGGCGCATACTGTGCCGCGTCGACAGATGAAGAATTCGTTACCGCGCTTCCCCCACTCTGTCGGCACCTCTCCCCACCATTTCTCCCTTCAACCTACGCGGCCGACGCTAGGGTGATATAAGGACCCCGCCCGACAGCGCCGTTTCAGTTTGGTCTGCGACGTTGTGAGGTGTGGAGTTCACGTGGTCCTCTCCGACGTTCACCGTTTACGTTTCAAACACCTTGTTCGATTTCCGCTTGTTGCGACCGTTATTAAGGACGCAACGAGGAGTTCGCAACGCATCCGACGCCTATACATCGTTCAGTGCACGAGCTAGCGTTAAGGGGTTCCCGAGGTTTCTGTTCGATCGAGGGATAGACGAGTAAGTCGAACATTTATTTATAATACGGCTACTTTTGGAGCACGAGTGAGTGAGTGAGAAGGAATGTCAGTGGCAACGCGTATCGATACGGCAGCTTGTCTGGGCACGAGATTCCTGAGTGAGTTAGGGCTTGTTAGGGGCGACCACCGACGCGTCGGTCCATTTCTTTGATGTACCCGAAGCACCGTTCGAAATTGGAGCGGAGAGAGGACAGACGTGAGATGCTGGAGCGTTCTGCCGCAGTATATTTTAACCATTCTTTTCATGGAATTAAATATTTCCCAGGTGACTCTCTTCTCGGTAAATAAATCGCTTATCTTTTCTGATTTTTAATTATTTTGAATTGAGCGAACTATTTTGCCAGAATCCTCAATTTGTTTACATTGTATCAGTCTTTTACTCTTCAGAAACTTGAGAAGAGGTTGAAAAACGTTGGTCCAGCGCCTATCTCTGTCAAAGAGAGAAACGTGCAAGCGTTCCGCGATTGTAATTATTTCAAATTAAATTAATTACTTTGCTAAAATGGGCTCTCAAATTGTTTACATTCTCTCTATCAGTCTTTTACTCTTCAGAAACTTGAGAAGAGATTGAAAAACGTTGATCCAGTGCCTACAAATCCTTCAAAGAGAGAAGCGTGCGAGCGTTCCGTGAGAGCATCAAAACAAACACGTATGTCGCCGAGTTAACGATAGCTCAGTTTTTATCGTTTAGTTTTCTCCTCGATATTTTCGAGCATCTTTTACAGCTGGCACGCCTTCTTCCTTGTGTAGCAGAAACTGCGTAATTCCGTTCTTCCGATGCATCCGCGGTGACCCTCGAGGAGCGCTTTCACCACGATTTCATTCCGAGAAAGCCAGAGATCCGAGGAGAAGAGAAAGAAGGAGACTTCTTTGTGTCGCAATATCGAATTACGCAGGAAAAGGCGACGGTCACGTTATAAATTTTATTGTTCACGCCGTGCCAATTCCGTCTGATGTCAGAAAAGAGACATGACAGGGAAAAGGGAAAGACAGTCCACCTTGGAGTAACAAAACAACGCGAATTTGACATGACACACGAGGCTTACGTTAACATAGATCCTATTCCGTGCCATAAATGGCGATGCAATTTCTATCTCTTGTCAGGCAAACGAAGCTTCGCTAAGAGCTCCGAGAGCTCGACTCCAACTTCAATAAATCAAAACGATCGGATGGAAAGAAAAAGAAGCCCGACCGAGATCTCGATATTCGTTTTTTTTTTCAAGACTAGAAAGTTTCAACACTCGAAAATTTAATTCATTGCATTATTTTGTTTCTTGCCGGAAGTGATTGCTTCTATCAATTTCCTTAGCGTAAGGGCTCAGACACAACGAAAAACACGATGATAGATTTCAACCTGCAAAGAAATTGCTGTGCATTGGTACTCAATTTCTGATAAATTGTGTGAAATCTATTGTTTGTTATCTTCAGCTGTTCCCATTGCCTGTGGTTTTCATTGAGTCTAAATCTTCACAATGAAGAGATTGATAGAAGCGATCACTTTCGAAGCAAAATAATACAATGAAAAATGAATTTTTAACAACAGTCGATTGCTTTTACCTCGTAATCGTTGCAAGATCGCCTTATATATGTCTGGCTTGTGGGATCGTCGCACGAAATTACCATTTAACATTGACAGCTTGCCAAAGCACGGTTAAGTAATCGATGGTCGAAGGACAGTGATCTGAAGGTAGCGTTATTTTGCGTCGTTGCGATAATCGCAATGGCTCGACGCGGCGTGGCGTGGCGCGCGGTTTTTTCGCTTCGTCGTTGCCTCGTCGCTTGCGAGCCGAACGAACGCGAAGCCATGAAGAGAATCAATACTCTCGCGTGCGAGACGAGCGGGTTCTTCGTTCGGCGCCCAACTGTCGGCCATCGACCGGAAGATTGCACCGCGGAAGCGCACTGTGTTGCATCCCGCACTGGGAGAAAGGATTTTGTTAATTTAGCAAGCCACCAGTACCTGTAACCGGTAATCACTAAATATGTGACAACAAATTTTATTGTTGTATTTGCTGCTAGTCTGTTATACCAACCAATTATTAGTAACAGAAGCAAGCTATATAAAATCTAACTAACCTACCTTTTTTTTTAGATAGACTTTAGGTTCGTTTACATGGAATTCATAGATGATGTCTTAAGTCGTAGGAAACCGACCAAGCACAGTCAAATGTAGGGAGAATACTTGACTAGAATTGGTCAATTTCTTACGATTTGGGATTCTGCAATAGTCTACGACTTTTTTATATATATATGTATATTTATATATGGCTTGATTTTGTCTACCTTCAATCTCGTG